TTGCAATGCAATCCAAGGCTTAGATCATACCTGATTAAAGACACAACGAGGGCTTTATAATGACGCAGATCGCGTATCGTGCGTATAATAAATCTATAAAATAACAGGCGACAATAGCACGTATATAAAATATCTGATGACCCTGAATGAAATTATATCAATCTCTCACGGCATTATACGTCACTCGGTTCATTCACTCGCGACTGTTTCATCTTACGCGTCATGTACGACGTACGTATTGTATTTCCTTCCTAGAAACGAAACTCCTTGACAAGGTAAAACTGATTGAGCCTTGGTGACCTGATTTATTCCTTTCCCTGAATTAGCCGGAATTGGCGAGGCTAAGAGCGAAATTGTTGAGTCACATAGTGGACAAAAAGTCTATAAATATTCTATAGAGATCAGAATTGTCAGAGTTATTCATGTCAAAAGAACAAAGCTCTGACAACTGTGATAGAGTGTGACATTTTCGAGCGAGCGTTAACTATTCTTATTGAAGCATCTTCTATTTTTAAATTACGAATTTTTCAGATAATTATTTTCTCATTTTCAACGTATCTTCTTCGTTTGACAGAACGGATTCGGAATAAAAAATGAAATAAAATTAAAAAGCTGTCCTTTGTATGACACTGCTCATTATTTATGTACTATATGTTCACTTGAATTTAAAAAAATTCAAAAATATTATAAAATTTTATATAAGATTATAAAAAAAATGTTAGAAAAATATTATATAGAGAGTCTAAAAATATTCAATTGCAAAATAAGAGTCGAATTTGAATCAACATCATTGTTTAACATGCTATTTATTTTTACTTAAAACGTGGCAATAGGTTGAATATAGATAGATTTGTCATAGAAATATACTTGGTACGAATAGCATGACACCAATGACTCATACTCAACTTGACGATAATACATTGCGCATTCATTGGCCGTGTGATGCAGATAATTTATATGAGGGTATACGAATATTATAATTATATATTTAATTTCTGTAGTACTGCAACTGTAAGTTCCAACGAAACGCAATGAGATGAATCTTTGACGATGAATGAGTAATGAGTATTTATATAATTAATTTTTCGGTATCACATTGTACGTTTTGTCATGCATATAATATACTGAATATTAAGAAATATTACACAAAAGTAAACTAATAACTTTTTTTCAATCAAAACACTAAACAGGCATATAATGATACAAGAAAAGTGTACACGGAAACAACGGTTTTATTAAAGTATCTAAAAAATTGGCTAGATACACATCTAACAATAATTTTATTGAATTAAAATAATCATATAGGACACTTAATTGGTTGATAGAATATTAAAATGTTTTGTAGCATTGCTCATCGTGCTCGAGTTTTCTATATAAATATTTTAATATTTTCAGTGTTTCTAGTTAAATTTTTAAATATTTCAGCAAAATCGTTCTTTCCGTACAAGTTCCTTTAATAAAAAAAGTTATAGCACATGAAATAAAAAAAACAATGGGATATGCTATTGTACGCACAGTGGCACGAAGAATTAAAAATTATTCTATTAATGATTCCTTTAAGTTCTTTGGAGTGACATTTTGAAAAAAGCTCAATTTTCACTCTTTAAAAGTGACATTTTACTCTTCAAAGTGACAATTCTAAAAATTTGACTAGTCTAAAAATTTGAAGAGTAAAAAAAGATATATTGTCTCCAAAAGCAAGAATTTGTTTTTCGAAAAAAGTATGTTTAGATCAAATGAATGATCGCGAACAAACACAAACAATTCGTTTTGCTATTATTTTTATAATTATTTATATCATTCTCGTTGAAGCAAATTGTTCCTTCGTGCTCATTTGATTTAAACTTAAATTAATTACACACGTGCGTTTCGAATATAATTTTTTTTTTTCATAACAATGATGAAAAAAAAATCTTCTGATATGGAATAGGTGAGATGTTAAAGTTCATTTCGCTGCAACAAAGGTATATATGCGTTTTTGCATTGGAATTGAAAAATGACACCGGAGGTCATGTGTTACGTGTGCCATGCACGTGCGTTTCTTCCTTCCGACTATGAATTGTTCATTGCATTAAATATGCGGCATATCAAATGCTGGCTGAGGGCAAACAAATATGCATAAAGAATAAAAATGAAAAAAGATGAAAGGAAAGGAAGGAAAAATCAAAGCTTGCAAAGATTACAGCAGAAAAAACTGATCAGTGCGCGCTCAGTGATTCTTTAATATGATTGGTTTTTGCCTTTAGTTCTTTGCTGATCTAAGTGTAAGAATCGATCATATTAAAACATGTAAAGTAAAAGAAACAGTCAGATATGTCATTGTATCCATAGTGGCACCGAAAGATAAAAAACCTGTTAACGATTCCGTATGCTTTAAATTCTTTGGAATAAAATCTCATTTTAAAGAATGAAAATTGAACCAATCTTGAAAAAGAGGAAAGTTCAAAGAATCACTGAGCACTGACTGATCCATTTTCTCTGTTGAAAATAGCCAGAGATAGAGATAAGATTCTCTGTAAGTCAGCCAATCACTTCACGGAACCGCGATAATTTGTTTGACACGTGAAAAGCACAATATGATAACGAGGATGTTATCTAAATTCTTCTTGAATAACTGAATGACATAAACAAATGTACAATGACAGTGAAACGTTTGGATAAATATGTGTTTTTCGAGCTCGTTTGCTTACTTCCTAAATTTTTCAAAATAAAAGTTCACTCTAAAGAGTGAAAATTGAGTTAGTCTTGAAAAGGAGTGGCTCAATTTTCAATCTTTAAGAGTGACATTTTACTCTTCTAAGTGAGTTTCATTCTAAAAGTGTTAGAGAATATAGACAAAAAAAAAAGTGTATTTCGCCACACGCGTTTTCAAGGTCGTGTAAGTGCGCCTTGCGCTTATTGCTTTATGTTGGCTGCACTTTGCGAATTACGTAAATTTTTAATAGATCCACGTGTGAACGATTACCTCTTAGCAAATACAATGAATCATTCGCTATTACGATTATAGATTATTCTAATCACACAATGATACTCACTACTATTAAACGTATCAACCGAGGCCTATTTTTGAGCCTCGTTTTGAACTTCAATCGATCGATTCCACGTCTCGTTGTATTTATTATTACCCCGCCTTATCGTTGATCAATGACTCGGTCAATAATTCATTGCCTGAGAAATTTGCCAGAATGAAGCTAAGCAAGTTGCGCAATGTCTGTCTTAAACCGCACACCTTGGCAGCAATATGTACGTATACATTAAGATGTGTATACAAATGTAGATTTTTAATTAATTATCACTCGAATCACTTCGTTATCATATATCGTGAAAGTGATAGATAAAGAAGGTATGAAAAATGGATTTCCGACAACTCGCGATTAATCGCTTTATCTATGGAAGATTTTTGTTCGAATAAACGTATCAATACAATATACGTGAATTAATGAAGATTATTGTTTCCAATAATAAAAACATGAAAGTCAGACTTTTCTACATCAGCAAAAAGATTGCTAAAATCGAATGCTAAAATCTTATAAAAGCTCTTTCTTTATTCTTTTGAAAAAGCATATAAAGTTGTTGTCGAAAACTTTGTAAACATTGGTATTTATCACTTGAACACTTTTTCTATATGTCGTAAAATCAATAATATTTTCAAAATTCTTTTGAAGAACAATAGTTGGAGGAAGAAAAATGTTGATTGCACTCTTCTTTGGACTTCAGTTTTATCTGCAGTAGGAATGCAACTCTCGGAAATAAGTCAACTATAATCTATTAAAGTCCATTAAAGTCTATTAAAGTTCATTTAAATCCAAGCGTCAATAACGCGCATAATTGCGAATAAATATACAATAAAAAAATTTTTTTTGCGCGCGAAGAATTAGTATAGTAGCTAAATAAGA